AAAATCAGTCTACAAAAATCATTAACCTTTCTATATACAAATAACAAGCAATTGGAGAAAGAATACAGGAAAATGTTCTCGTTCAAAATTGTTATTAAAATATCTTGGAATAAATCTGACCAAAGACACCAAAGATCTCTATAAAGAAAATTTTAAATAGTTAAAGAAAGAGATTGAAGAAGACACCAGGAGACTGACGGACCTTCCATGTTCATGGATTGGAAGGATTAATATTGTTTAAAATGACCATCCTACCAAAAGCAATATATAGATTCAATGCAATTCCAATCAAAATCCCCATGACATACTTCACAGAATTAGAAAAATCCATCCTTAAATTCATATAGAAGCACAAAAGACCCTGGATAGCCAAAGCAACCCTGAGCACAAAGAACAACTCTAAGGGGATTACTATACCAGATTTCAAAGTATACTACAGAGCCATAGTCATAAAAGCAGCATGGTACTGGCACAAAAACAGACACAGATCAATGGAACATTGTTGAAGATCCAAACCTGAGTACATACAATTTCAGCCACCTGATATTTGACAAAGGCACCAAGAACACACGATGGAGGAAAGACAGCATCTTCAACAAATGGTGCTGGCAAAACTGGATCTCCACCTGTAGAAGAATGAAACTAGATACTTATCTTTTGCCTTGCACAAAAGTCAAATTCAAATGGATCAAAGACCTCAATGTGAAACTGGAAACCCTGAAACTATTGGAAGAAAATATTAGCAGTAACTTACAGGATATAGGTGTAGAAAAGGATTTTCTAAATCAGAAGTTGCTCAGGAATTAAGGTCAGCAGTCACCAAGTAAGACCTCATTAAACTAAAAAGCTTCTGTACAGCTAAAGAAACAATAAAAAAAGTGAAGAGAAAACCCATAGAATGGGATAAAATCTTCACCAGTGAGACATCTGACAGATATTTAATCCAGAACATATAAAGAACTCAAAAAACAAAGAATCCAGAAACCAAATGACCCAATTAAAAGATGGGCTAAAGATCTAAACAGAGAGTTCTGAAAAGAAGAAATAAAGATGGCTAAGAAACATCTCAAAAAGTCTTCAACATCATTAGTAATTAGGGAAATGCAAATTAAAATCACCCCAAGGTATCACCTTACCCCAATCAGACTGGCTAGGATCAAGAGAACAAATGATACCAAATGCTGGTGAGGATGTGGAGAAAGGGGAACACTCATTCACTGCTGCTGGGATTGCAAACTTCTTCAACACCTATGGAAAACAGTGTGGAGAACTCTAAAAAACTAAAAATGAACCTACCATATGACCTGGTTATACCGCTCCTTGGCATATAACCAAAGGACTCATCCTATTGTAGAGACACTTGTACAACCATGTTTGTTGCTGCTCTTTTCACAATAGCTAAGAGATGGAAGCAACCTAAATGTCCCTCAATTGACAAATGGACAACGAAAATGTGGCACATTTACACAATGCCTTTCCACTTAGCAATGAGAAGGATAAAATTATGAATTTTTCAGGCAAATGGATGAAACTAGAAACTATTGTATAAAGTAAAGTAAGGCAGTCTGACTCAGAAAAATAAACGACGTATGTTCTCCCTCATATGTGGCCCCTAGCACAAAATCCTTTTAAATTCCAGGTCCTTTTAATAAGATGATGCTATACAGCAGTCCCTTCTGCATGAAATAACTACCATCATCACGACTTCGGCTGAGCCTGATCGCTAAACATAGTCACAATTGGGCTTGTTGATGGTTGTGCTCATTCATTAAAAGAGTGCCAAGCAGAGTCACTAAACCCTCACCTGAGTATCCAGCACTCTTCCTAGCCAACTACTCCAGCCTTGGAAGACGAAAGAAAAATGAGGAAGAAACCAATAGAGGGAGGCTTTTGGAAGCTCTTGT